GGCACGCAACTTGCAGAATACGAGTGATGATGTAACGACAGCTCTGCTGGGGCATCTGGGCCAAGTAAGGCAGGCAGACACTACAGGCTGGCAGCATCGTGAGCCGCACTTCAGAAGGGATGGCGAACGACAGCTCTGCTGGGGCACCTGGGCCAAGTAAGGCAGGCAAACACTACAGGCTGGCAGCATCGTTAAAACTAGAGGCCTCCTTCATGGGGTCCGCGTAGTAGATAGGGGTCGGATGGTATCGCCGCATCGCCGATACATCGGCGATGCACTGGCGACGTCGGCGAGGCATCGGCGACGTGGGCGTGGAGAAGAGTGGGCTCCGCATCGCCGACGCATCGCCGATGCATCGGCGATGCGGCACGATCTACTCCGATCCCATCCACTCCGACCCCACCGAGGAAGCCCAGAAGCACGGCGCCCGTGCAGAGTGCCATATGCGTGGGCTCCCTCCAGGCCCCACGGGCCCATCGCGATCGGGTGCACAGTGCTCTGGCTCCCGGGTCGAGGCGCCACGGCGCCCCGAGAGACGCTCTGAGCGGGCGGCGGGAGGGCGAGCCGAGGCCGACCAGACGGGGTCGGAAGAGACGGGGTCGGAGGATCGCGCCGCACCGCCGATGTATCACCGACGCATCGGCGATGCGTCGGCAACGTCGGCGGCGCATCGGCGCGGAGTCAACCGGGCTCCGCTGGGGAAACCGAGAGGTACCGACACTGCTACTCGCCGGACCTTTCCCGGGAGCGAATCCAGCGGCGGCGACAGGGGCCTCCCAGCAGTCCCAACAGAGGGGAAAACGGGCGAAGGGCAGCGGCAGGTAACTGGGTACCTTCCCAGACATGCGACGTCCTGCATTTGTCCATGCGCGGTCCCCAAAAGTCCCGACCCCTTCCCCAGAACGGCGTCTCTCATCCCGAGTCGCTTTGTTGACGGTCCCAGGGCCCGGCGAGGGCCCCCAGAGGCCGAGAGTGGCCAAACACCTGCCGTCCTGATTTTTGTCGTGCTTCTCGACGACGCGAGCCGCACCGCCCGGCGAGGGCCCCCAGAGGCCGAGAGTGGCCAAGCACCTGCCGTCCTGAGTTCTGTCCTGCTCCTCGAGGACGCGAGCCGCACCGCCGACGCGTCGGGGATGCGGCGCAATCCGACCCCATCTGCTCGGACCCCGTCGGGGAGGCCCGGAGCGGAGAAGCAGGCCGCGATGGCCTCCTGGGAAGTCCTGGGGGGGCACCCTGGGCCGGGGGCACATCCAGCGCCCCCCTCGACACCGTGGTGGAAGGCGGCGCGGAGGGCGGACGTCGGGCGACGGAGGGGGGGAGGCCTCCGGTGGCCTCTGGCCGAGAGGCCCTCCGCCGACACTTCCTGCTGCTGCTCCTGCTGCTGCATCCCCCTTATGAGTACAGTGAGGGTCTTGACCTAAGGAACCCTAAATAAGGAACAAAGTCCCTTTTTTCCATAAGTTAAACTTTGATTTCTTGTCGAAGACATAAGGAAAGCCTGGGGCAAGCTCCGAAACAATCAAGGAACACCGAGCCCCTCCCCAACGAAAAGGGTTCCTTCTGCAGGGCCCCGGCAGTATGGCTTTTACGGGGCTCTGGTCAGCGGGGTACATGGCTGCGGCTCCAGCCGTTTGTGCTCTCGCTGCTGCCTGTGCTGCTTGCCTTCCCCCCTTCCCCTCAGGCCGCCAAGCCATTCGCCCCGCTCGCGGGGACCCCTGAACTGCTCAGTCATATCTGACCCCTCATCCTTCGGGGGCGCGCAAACATGGATTAGCGATCCATGAATTTGACGCGCGGTCGCCAAATCCGTGGATCAGGGGAGGTGCCCTCTCCAAAAATGCGGCCGGTGCCGCCTCGCTCGGCGACGGCAATGGGCGATTTCCCATGGAAACGGGACCCGTCGCTAATCCACGCCCCCTTGATCCATGTTTGCGATCGCCTGACTCCTCGTGCTGGCGCTGATCCTCCCACCTCCCCCCTGGCAGCCTCCTGGCGCAGACGCATCGGCGGGCTCCGAGAATCACACACCGGGAGGCGCGCTGGGTGGTGGCCCCGCGCGCAGGGGGTCCACTACTTATGTCATTTCGCTGGAGGGCCCAGCACTGAGCCGCAGAGGGCACATCCTCACATCGGCGGCGAGCGAGGGGGGGAAGTGAGAAGGAGAAGGCCTTCCCAGAAGGCGGCGGGGCTTCTCAGAAGGCTTCTGGCCCTTTGAGAAGCTTTCTACGTGTTCGGGGAAGGCTTCGAAAACTTCCCAGAAGGCCGTTGGACTTCCACGCCTTCTGCGAAGAGCGCCCCTTCTCATTTCCTTCCCTCGCTGGCCGCCGATCACACGCCTGGCACCGGTGGCCTTCCGATCCATCATCGCTGCCCGTTTAAATGTCCGTCCTCCTCCTGCTAATTGCTGACAAACCTTTCCTCTGTTTCCACGGCCTGCTTTCTCGTCTTCCTACAGCCTCTTCCTTTTCCCCCATTCCATGCTCGTCCTCCTATTGTTTTTCCTTCTCCGCCTGCCTCCGTCTCCTGTTCCTCGTCATCTTCCTCACCACAACCACCATCACTCTCATCATCACCATCGCCATCGTCATCGTCATCCCCATCATCACCATCACCATCGCCATCGTCATCATCATCTTCTTCCTCCTCCTCATCATCATCATCACCGTCACCGTCACCATCACTGTTACCATTGACATCTGCATCACCAACAACATCATCGACACAATTGCCATCACCGTCGTCATCGTCAACATCGTGATCAGCATCGTTGTCACCGACATCATCAGAATTAACATCATCACCATCACCATCAACACCATCATCATAATCTTCATCACCATCACCGTCACCATCACCGTTACCATCGCAACCACCATCATCAGCATCAGCATCAGCATCAGCATCATCAGCATCAGCATCATCATCAGCATCATCGTCATCGTCATCGTCGTCATCGGCATTCTCATCATCATCATCATCATCATCATCATCATCATCATCATCATCATCATCATCCTCATCATCATCCTCATCCTCATCATCATCCTCATCCCCATCCTCATCCTCATCCTCATGATCCTCATCATCATCATCATAATCATCATCATCATCACCACCACCACCACCACCACCATCATCATCATCATCATCATCATCATCATCATCATCATCATCATCATCATCATCATCATCATCATCATCATCATAATCGACATCGTCATCGTTATCGTCAGCATCACCACCATTATTACCACCAACGCTCTCATCACCATCAGCATCATATTCCTCCCTTCCCCTCCCCATTCTCGCCCTCATCATTACCCCGCCTTCTCTCCTCATCCTACCACTCCTCCTGGCGGCCGCGGGTCCGCCCGAGCGATCGAGCACGTTGATCGTAAACTGGCGCAACCACCCCACCCCAGAAACGGTCCACCGCTCAGCAGAGGCCGGCCCTGGGAGGAGGGGGTGTGCACGGCGGGGCCGATAGGCACGCATACACGGGAGGGCGCCAACGACCGCGACAACGAGGTGGACAATTTTCTCCTGCTGCTCCTCCTCCTCCTCGTCCCCCTCCCCCTCCCCCTCCTCCTCCCCCTCCTCCTCCTCCTCCTCCTCCTCCTCCTCCTCCTCCTCCTCCTCCTACTCGCGGTCTCCTCCTCCTCCTCCTCCTGCTCCTCCTCCTCCTCCTCCTACTCGCTCCTCTCTCCTCCTCCTCCTCCTCCTCCTCCTCCTCCTCCTACTCGTGGTCTCCTCCACCTCCTCCTCCTCCTCCTCCTCCTCCTCCTCCTCCTCCTCCTCCTCCTAGTCCTCCTCCTCCTCCTCCTCCTCTCCCCACTCCTCACGATTGCTCCTGCTGCTTCCTGCTGCGTGCTCCTCCCGCCTCTGCCCACGGGATCCGGGACTCCGCGGGCGCGCACGCGCGCTGACCCGCCGTGGACCCCACCAGGGCGTACGACCACCAAACCTGCCGAGCCCCACCAGGGCGTGCGCTGGGCAGGCCGGGCCCCAACGCCCGGGGACCTCTCCGAGGCTGCCATGCCGTGGGCACCTCGACGAATTCACCGGGGCCCCGGCGCCGAACGGGGCGCGCTGACCTTCAAAGTTTGGCAGGGTTTCGTTTCGCGTTGGCGGGGTGAGGGGATGCGCGACGAACAACCAACACACACCACTACCCATGGGGGGGGGGGGGGGCGGGGCCATGGGTGCGTGGTGTCGGATGGGGGTCCCCGCTCGAGAGGGAGCCTCCCCCAGGGTCCGACAACCCGCACACATACCCATAGCCAGTCCTCCTCCCTCCGACCTCGGTATGGGTATGGCCGTGTGTTGTTCACTTGGCAATGTGACGAGGAGGGGGGGGGTCGGCTGCAGGGGGGACGGGGAGGAGAGGGGGGGTCGGCGGCAGGGGGGACGTCGAAGGGGGAGGGGGGGTCGGCTGCAAGGGGGTCGGGATGGAAGACGACACACGAAGACAGGGGGCGTCGATGGCGAGAGCGCGGGGGGAAACTGAGAAGGAGGAGGCCGTCTCAGAAGGATCTGAAACTCTCCAGCCTTCCGAGAAACTTTCTAAGCCTTCCCCGAAGACGCTGATAACTTATCCGAAGGCGCAAGGGCTGCTGAGAAGTCCCGCCGCCCTCTAAGAAGACCTTCTCCTTCCCACCTCCCCCGTGGCTCGCCGCCGGCGGGGGGGTGAGGGTGAGGACAGGCTGCAGGGAAGACCCGGGAGGAGGAACGCGAAGGCTGAGGACGATAACAACAAGCAGCGTCAGGAGACCAGAGGACCAGAGGACGGCGATGGAGGGCGAGGATGAAGAGAACGAGGGCGAGAGCAGGACGATGTACAAAAGAACTGCATGGCAACATCAGGAAGATGGGGAACACATGAACGAGGACAAGTAGGCGGCGGATACGCATGAAGTCGAAGGTTGAAGTATCGAAGGACAACTGGGCACAGTACTCCACATGTCGACTTGCTCAGCATTCCCTTCGCGAGCTCGCACCCCTTTTCTGCAGGAGAGGGGACAAAGCCAAAGACCGCCACAATGCAATCTCGTGGAGACTCTAATAGAGAAGCAAGCGTGCTGGCCTTTCCGGACGGAAAGGTGATCCAAATTTGTGGCGAGGAAAGCGAAGCAAGAAACAGGCAATGATGACAGCAACAGTGGATGCAACATCACGGGGGATCTTGGGGAGAGGTGGGAGGAGTAGGGATGAGGAGGACAATACGAGTAGTTCAAATGTTGTCCACAGTTTAGCTGCACCTGCTGGTCTAATGGGAACAGTTGCGCTGATTTCAGCTTTTGGCCGCCGCTGGCCATGTGTTGATCAGCTTGCCTTGATTGACCTGTAATGTGGGATTCGGTTTGTGAGGTTGCCAGACGTATCTGGTTCCTTCCGACTGGAAGTGCAACTTCGTCTTGTAGTTCTGCGCTGCTCGACATGCACGATCAGTTGTGGCAAGGTTGCATGCGCTCCCGAGCTGAAACTCAAACGCTGCATTGGGACTTCGAACTGGCGATGACTTCAGCTTCGATGTTCGCCTCAGCTTTCGTGTTAGCCCTTTCTTTTCTGTCCTTGCTTTTCGCGCCCTTGCCTGGACATGTGCCTCTGACCGCGTCAACCAACGCACCGTTCAGACACGGCACCGTCGATGGATTGCTTTCGTTTTGCCAACAACCCGCGTCTAAACTTCTACGGTCAAGCTACCCCCGTAAGAAACGCAAGGTAAGGGACAAAACCCATTTCTGGCCACGAGGGCGCCCTGGCGCACGAGGGGCAATGGAGGAACAGCCACTGAGGGGTCGAAGGGACACCGGGCCGTTCCTCATGACAGCGCCTTGGCTGTGCGGGCCAACGATCTGCTCGTGCGTATCAGGCGGCTGACTGCAAAGGGGCAGTCTCCGCGCAAAGCCCCCAACACTGGTTTACAGCCCGGCAGTTTTCCACGCTACCACGTATATCCGCCGATCCGGCGTGTGAGTTTCAAGGAGTCTCAGCTACAGCCTCGAGGCTGAGCCTCAGCCTCTGGGGGGGTTGCTGGGGTGGCTCTGCCGGGGAAGGGGGGGTGGGGGGTGGGGGGGGGGGGGTGCGAGTTTCCGGCGGATGCGTTTTTTGACACCCCTCACAAGGATCGTGGCCTCGGAGGGGGTTCCGAACTCGAGTACCACCCCTCCCGCACCAAGAGGCTCCGAGGAGGCCTCCAAGAGGCCCCAAGGGGCGCAGAAGAGGCCCCCAAGAAGCCCCAAGAGGCTCCCAAGAGACCCCCAAGAAGCCCTCTAGTGGCCCCAAGAGGCCCAAGAGGCCCCCAAGAAGCCCCAAGAGGCGCCCAAGAGGCCCCCAGAAGTCCCAGCCAACCACGAGATCCCAACCAGCATCCATGAGGCCTCTGACCCACCACCCACGCACGGTGGCGGGATAGGCCGACGGCCACTGGATAAATGCTGAGTGAGAGGAGGGGAGGGAAAAAGAGAGGAGGGACAAGGGCGAAGAAGGATCACATCAGTCGGAGCGCCCCGGATCGGCGGCACTGGCCGAAGGCCACTACAATATATTTATATATATATATAGAGAGAGAGAGAGAGAGAGAGAGCGAGACGACGCCGCACGGATTTCTGGATCGGCGCTGAACCTCCACCCTAGCGCGCGGAGCGAGCCAGGGGCGGCGCCAGCGGCGCCGCCAGTGGGTGCCCAGCGTCGATCTCAAAATTCCGCGCCAGGCGCCGAACATGCATGTTAACGTGGCTTGTTTCCCCAACCCTCCTGCGCAGGCCTTTCGATTTGGAATAGGGCGCTGCGTTTTCCACTCCTTCCTCCCGCGTCCGTCCCACTCTCTTCCCCTGCCGGTCTGCTGCCCGGCCCCCGTCGCCGTCCTGCCTAGGGGTTCCCTGGAAGTGCGGCTGCAAGGGCTGCTGGGGGGGCAGGTGGGGTGACGCCCCACGCACAATTAGATCAGACCCTGCCGTCCCAAGCGGGGCTGCGAACTGCGCAGCTGTCGCCACATCCGAGGACTGCTGCGGGGCCACATCCGGAGCGGCACCCCGCCGAAAACACTCGGACCAGTGCTCTCGCCTTCCTTGGGGGGGGTGCTGCGAACTGTGATACTGCCGCCACTTTCGACGGCTGTCCGCATTCCATTGGGATGATGCCACGCCGCACGCCCTGATTATACCTCGCCGTACCTGGGGGGGGGGGCTGCGAAACTCGACACTGCCGCCACTTTCGAATCCTGCTGGGGGGTCCACCAAAGCGACGCCCCGCGGCAACCTCAGATTAGACCTCGCCGTCCCGGGTGGGTGGAGAACTGTGAACTTGTCACCACTTTCGGCGCCTGCTGAGGGCCCAATGGAGTGATGCCCCGCCGCAAGTTGTGACTAGACATCGCCATCCCTGAGGGGCTGCGAACTTCAAAATGGTTTCCACTTTCGGGGTTGCTGGAGGGTCCAGCGGAATGGCGCCCCGTCGCAAGCACAGACTTGACCCCACCCCGCCATCCGCGGGGGGCTGCGAACTGAAAAACTGTCGTCACGTTCAGGGGCCAGTGGGGTGTCCACCGGAGTGGCGTCCCGCCGAAAACTCAGATAACCCCTCGCCATCCCTGGAGAGCTGCGAACTGCGAGACGGTTATATGTTCGAGGGTTGTCGGGGGGTCCAGCGGAGTGACGCTTTACCACTGACTCGTACTAGCCCTCGCCATTACTGGGGGGGGCGCGAACTGCAAAGGAATCGCCACCTTCGGCGGTCTTTCGAGGGTCCCCGGAACGACGTCTTTCCGCAGCCACAAACTGGATCTCGCCATCCCATTGTATGTCCCACGGGCCGCCCGAAGACCTGGCGGCGCGCCTTTGATGTTCTGTCCCGCGGGCCGCCCGAACGAAGAACTGGCGGCGCGCCTGCGGGCGTTGAGCTCCCGCACTGGAAGGTGCGGGGGAAAATGGAGAGCCTGGCTGGCGAGCTCGGCCTCGCTCGCTTCTTGCTCAAACTATAAACAACAAATATTTTGGAGCGCCAGAGCGACATGGCGCGGCCCGCGTTGCCTGTCCAACGTGCCACTGGGAAACGATCGCCAACCTCGTTCCTCTGCCTCTTTCGTTGTCGTCCTCTTCCTCATACCGTCTCACTGCTGCTGTCGCGTTGACTGTCCGGCCCCTCTTCCTGTTCGAGCCCCCTTTCCTCTTCGAGCGTTGGGCCTCAATCCGCGATTTTTCGTTGTCCTGTGAGTCGTGCTACGCGCTCACGCGCTTCCCATATAGCTTGCGCAACCAAGACCAGATCCTGTGCTGCCATCAGTCATACTAATATGGACAAGCTCCTCTCCTCGTCACTCAACGCAGGTGGGTTGGGCACGCCGCAGGGTAAATTTCGTCTTGGGCGTCGCGTAGTGGGGGGGGCCGCTAACGGGGCCCTCCGAGGTCCACAAAGAAGGCCTTTGGGGCCCGAAACGTGCATCTGTTCCCCACCCCATTTACAGTCGTCCCGTATCATCAGGATGCGTGACAAGGATGCATGGGCCTTGGACGCCCATTCCGACGCTTCCCGAGCGGGGCGCGGCCAGCGAAAGTGGCCAAACATAGGCCCAAGGGGCAAGGATGCAAGGGTATCCTCGGGATGGTCGTCCATCCTTATCATGCGGGTCAACTGTATCGCCCCCATCAGGCGACGCCCAAACCGCCTTCGAACGCGTCTGGCTCTGGAGGCACCGGATCCGCGCTGGACCCCCCAACGACGGAACGTCCTGCTGCGCGCCCTCGCCGTGGAGCCGACCAGAGCCCCGTTCCCGGCCCTTCCTGGCGCCTCTGTGGACACGCCTCCAAAGAGATCCTCCTTTTGATCAGGCATAGGAGTGCCCTTAACCCTCTGGGAGCGGACCCAGGTCAAGAGGACCCAAACATCAGCCACAAGGGGTCGTTTTGTTTCTGCAGATGTGCCGAACCAAGCCACCCGGAAGTGTCAGCCCTCAGGCAATGACCGGGACCTCAGTGAGGCCACGTCTCCATGGTGTCAATCGGGCGCGGGGGTCTTCTTGTCCTCGCTGATCTCCAGTCTCTTGCACAGCCGCGTTCTAGATCTCGGTGCCCTTGATTATCGTGGCTCGTCATTCGTCGTCCGCCCACCCACCCCCCTCCCCTGGCTTCTCTAGCGGGCCCTCCCCCCTGGGCCGTCGCCTTGTCCCTGACGGGTATCGTTTATTCGTTGCCCCCATCCAGTTCCTCCTGTCCATCGCCGATCCCTCGTGCCAAAGGCCAGGGTACGCGTGGCACTTGCTGTTGCCCGCGCTATATGTTGTGGAAAAAACAGGCATCAAGAAAAAGAGTGCACAACTCCCGCACAATCCCGTTGCACATTCACTCCAAAACTATGTTCTTCGATGGCATTTAGTAGCGGTCGTTACTTGGGCAGTGGATGGGCAGGTAGAGGCCACGCTGGAGGCGCAGTGGGGCGCGTCGGGGCGGGGGCGCGCTGCGATCGACATAAGTCTGCGCGCGACCACCAGCATGTGGGAGGGGGGCGACCCCCCCTCTTAACGCACGACCGTTGCCGTCATCCTCCGTGGGGGGGGGAGATTCGGCATGGATAACGACCGTTCCGCGCCACGGGGTGAAACAAAACAAGATCGAGGGCGAGCAATTGGCACATGGCCGATTCCAAAAACCCTGAACCCAAACATGTTGCGATCTCTTAGGGGCGCATGTGTTACTTCCGCCAATCTCCGCTGGCGGAGGCGGCCACGTTCTACTTCCGCCGCCTTCCGCCTCAATCCAGCGAGGAACAGATGCCAACCCCTTACACCCTCGAAAGGCAAGGCCCTTCCCGAAACGCTGCACATAGGCAACGGTAGGCGCCTTTCTCTTCCTCCTCCTCCTCCTCCTCCTCGTCCGCTCCTCCTCCTCCTCCTCCTCCTCCTTCTCCTTTCCCTCCTCCTCCTCGTCCTGGGGAAACCAAACGGCACCGATACCGCTACGCTCTGGACCTCTCCAGGGGTGCGTTTCGACCAGGAGTTCGGGGCGAATCCAGCGGTGGCGATGGGGGCCTCCCAGGATGCCCACAAAAAAAGGAAAAATCGTTGGAAGGGCAACGGCATGGGCATCCGTCTGTCGGAAGACGTGGATAGAAGCGTGAAGTAAGAAGGCGTTGGAAGCAGATTGGGTAGAGGAGGAGGAGGGAAGAGGGAGGAGGAGGAGGGGGAGGAGGAAGAGGAGGAGGAGGAGGAGGAGGAGGAGGAGGAGGAGGGGGAGGAGGAGGAGGAGGGAAGAGGGAAAGCCGCTCGACCCTTGAGGTAGAAAGGCGCCTGAAGCCGATTGGCATCTTCATACCCCCAATATGCATACGGCAGGTTCGTGCCGTGTCGACCTGGGCGTTGGTCCCTGACGCCGCGAGGATCGTTCAACCTTGAACGATCGGCCATTTCCGTAACGTCCGATCGTTCAACATCGACCGATTCTGGGCCTCCGCCGGCATTCAATGTTGAACGCCGGCGTCGGGGTCGCCGCCGGTCGACACGACGCGAACCTACCGTACTTTCAGCGACCGGCGTGTACCTTTTCCTCCTCTGATCTTCTTCTCCTCGTCGCTCAGACCTCTGCCTCTTCCCCAAGGGCTCGCGGCCGCCACCTTCGGTGGCAACCCATGGGGGCCTCCCATACCATCTTGTCGGCTCTTGCGAATCGACGCCCATCAACGCTGAGTCGACGCTCATCGACGCTGACCGACGCGAAATCGGCGCGACCTCATCGACTCCCAAACGCTCCTCGACGCTAAGTGGCGCGAGAGACGGAATTGAGAGGGTAGACCGGGCTCCCGTGATCTGCTACCGAATGCGTGTGCCGCTCCCTGCTCCTCTGGGCATGCCTCCCAGGCAGCCTTCAAGAAAACATAGACGCCGAGCCTCCGAGCCTCGCCATCGCTCGGCCTTCCATCCCCCGCACACTTGTCGACTTCGTGCGCGCATGTTTTTTCGCAAGATCCGTGGAGACGTAATACTCGGGTTAGGGGAACTCGGGAGGAGGAGGAGGAGCAGGAGGAGGAGGAAGAGGAGGAGGAGACGGAGGAGGAGGTGGAGGAGGAGAAGGTAGAGGAGATGGAGGAGGAGGAGGAGGAGGAGGAGGAGGAGGAGGAGGAGGAGGAGGAAGAGGGGGAGGAACGGGAGGAGTGGAAGCAGGAGGAACACACGAAAGGAACGGGGAAGAGGAGGATCCAGGGTGGGCGAGACGAGGGAGGAAGCCGAAGGGCAGGACCAGAAGCAGGACGACAAGGACGGGAGAGAGGAGGGTTCGGGACGGGCGAGGGAGTGAGGACGAGGCCCTCCTCCTCCTCCTCCTCCTCCTCCGCATCCACCTGCAGGGTCAGAGGGGGGAGGATGACTACGAGCAGGAGCAAGAGCAAGTCCCCGAGGAGGGGGAAGAATACGAACACGACGGGGAGCGATAATAGCAGGGGGCAACCGCGCGCCCTCAGTAGCCGGGCGGGAAGCCACCAACCTGCCCCATCTCCTGGACGGGAGTCCCGTTGAGCACGTACCCGATCCTCAGCTTCATTAGCAACGCCTTCTCTCCGTTGGACTGGTTCATGGTGACCTGGCGCGAGAGAACCCCGATATCCGGGCGCTGCAGTTTTTCACGCCAGTGCTGTCGACAGGCTTCGAGTGGGGGATCGACTCAGAAATGATTTACCCAAAATTTGCCATCCCGCCGAATATGCCAAAAACAATGCGGAAATCAATCTTGGAGTAAATCGATTCCATAGTTGATCCCCTATGCGAGCGTTTCGGGGCCCGGGGCCGTCACTGATCTGTACGACTGGAAACGTTGCCGCAAGAAGATGGAAGGCCCATGGCGCTGGTCAGGTATTCTCACGACGCTGCATGTTGTTCGTGACGTCGGATCTTAGGGGGGAGGGTGGGGAAGGAGGCGGGGGAGAGCGGGAGGAGCTGGACGAATCGGAGAAAAAATATCATCAGCACGAAGGAGCACAGTGGCACACAGACATCCTCCCCATCAGACTCGGTCCTCTCCCTCTTCAGCACGAGGGCGGGGGACAGTGAGGAGAACGAGGAAGAGGAGCAGGAAGAGGAATGCTTACGAAGAAAGGAGGAAGATGAGAGTGAGGAAGAGGAGGCGGAAGAAGAGGAGGAGGAGGAGGAGGAGGAGGACCGCCCTGCCAGTCACAAAACGGTGGGTGGCAATGGCAAAGGCAATGGCAATCAGGCTTAGGTGCAAATCCACCTCGCCGCGCATGCGGCAGAAGGCCAGCGAGTCGCGATCGCCCTCCGACGGCCATCGGCCCTCGGCCTTGGCGTCACACTTGGCCCTCCTGCGCTCACGGGCCCACCCGACAACAACCGTGGGCGACTCAAAACCGTGCAGGCGGGCAACTCGGTTGAGGTCCAGCACAGGGGCGTCAACCCCATACCGGCGGAAGCCGGCGGGCTCCTCGGAAGCCACATCGGGACCACCGAGCCCGCCGGCGGGCCCAGCAGCAACGCCCCCAGACGACGCACTGGACCCCACCAGCTTCTCGCGCAGCCAACGAACATCCTCATCCTCCTCCTCCTCCTCCTCCTCCTCCTCCTCCTCCTCCCTCCCCCTCGAGGGCTCCAACATCCTTTGAAACAAGACGACTTAGGAGGAGGGTGAGGGGCAGACGGGTGCAGGAACCGTTTCAACCGCGAACTCTGGAACTTCAGCCCCTGGTGCCGCGGCCCAAGGCACAGGCCCGCAGGGCCCTTGTTCGGGGAGACGCGCTGCCCAACCGAGGCCCCGCATGACTTGCAGAACAACAAGATGTGCGGCCCTGGTTCTACAGTAAACTCACACTTCACAACCCAAAATCCCTTTGAAACAACCACGGCCTCCCAGGAATATCCCCCAGCTCCACCCCCACCCCCAAATCAGACGGCGCGCCCTTGGGCTCTTCGGGGACAGGGACGCAGGCGGCCTGTTTCCACCTCATCTGTTCGTTCCCTTGCAAGGAGGACAGGGTCGAGGAGCTCAACACCTTCTCCCTGCGGAACCTCGAACTCGAGAACGACATCGAAGGTGCGTCCGACACCTTCCGTGTCCCATGCATCATCGTCGCCCATCCAGGCGTGGACCTGACCGATCCACTGGAGTAGCTGGCTGGCATGGGTCTCACAGGCCTCGATGAACAAGGTACGCTCTGGAGGGGTCTGCCACAACTTCGCACCCTTCTTGGCCCAGTGGTCGGCCAGAGCATTGCCTCGCCTGCACCAGGAGTCGAAAAAGGACTGATCAATCGCAGCTGTGGCGTGGCCCTTCACTTTTTTCACCGCAGCGCTCGAACCGTGCTTCGCCCACCACCCAGTCCAAAAATGGCGGTTGGGGTTCAGCGGGTGCAGGGCCTTGACGGCACTGCGCGCACGGGAGAAAGACCCCGTGCAGTCCGAAAAAGCAGTAAATGCGCCGTCGGCCTCGGGCTCGACCGAGGACCGTGAGAGCATGTGAAAAGGCAAAATCTTCAGCATCACGAGACGACTGAGACAGCGACCGCGAGAGCGGGACCGCCCCATGCATCGCACAGCTGAGAGAGCCGTCATCGTTGATGGAAACAGCCGCCCAGCCCGCTCTGCGCAGGCCACCGAACTGGGTGAAAAGGGACGACCCATCGACAAAAACTTCTCCTTCGAAGAGCCACCCTGGCATGCAATTGACGAACCGAAGCTGCTGTTCAGCCTCGATGTCAACTTGAAGAGGAAGAGGAGGAGGAGGAGGTCGAGGAGGCGGAGGAGGAGGAAACGGAGGAGGAGGAAGGAGGAGGAGGGGGAGGAGGAAGGGGCAAGAGGAGGAGGAGGAGGAGGGATGAGAAGGAGGGGGGAGGAGGGAATAATGGAATGATCTGGAGCAGGGCGGACCAGGGTCCGCCTGCCGACGCAGCGGCGGGCACGGAGGCGCAATCGCCTTCGAGTGGCCACGGCTCCGTGTGGCCTCGGCCTCGCGCTTTAGCACACCTACGCTCCCCGGCCCATTTAGCCGCGGAGTCGGGCAGAACAAATCCATGCGGGCGCGCAAGTTAGGCCAGGCCCAGGACAAGAACCGACACCCCGTACACCCCGCCAAATGCTTCAGAAATCATGGGTTAAGAAATTCAGAGTCTCAGAACTTGAATAAAAACCTAAAATTTCAATTCAAATCTTAGGATTTACATCGAAACATTAAGAATAATCGAGACCTTGGCCGAAAATTTCAAGTGAAAGCTGGCGGGGCCCAGGTACCATCGGCCACGAGACACCCATGGGGGCCCGCCCGCGGGCCCCGTCGCGACAGACCCCACCGGCGAGGACCCAACACCTTCGCTGGACCCTGTCAGCTTCCCCTGCAGCCAGTCAAATATCAGCCTCCCCTGGGCCTCTAAACACAGACTGCCGAGGAGGAGGAGGAGGAGGAGGAGGAGGAGGAGGAGGAGGAGGAGGAGGAGGAGGAGGAGGAGGAGGAGGAGGAGCGGGGGCCGAGGGGTGGAGGAACCGACGCAGACGGGACCTCTGGGTCTCAAGCTCAGGGCGCCGAGGTCCCAGACAGGCACCTGCAAGGGCTCTGCCAGGAGAAATTCTCTGGGCCAGTGAGGCCCCACAGGACTCACAAAAAAGCAATCACTCGTGGCCAGGGCCCTACGCATCGCATTTTCACCACCGAATGCTCCTGAAACAGCCACGGCCTCCCAGGCACGACCCCCAAACCCACCCCCACCTCATCAGACGGCTCGGACTCGGGCTCCTGCGGCGGTGGGGCAGGGGGACTCTGACCTCCAGCCAAGCAGCTTTCGGGTCCTTAGGGCCGCGTCTAGGTGCACAGCATCACGAGCATCGATGGCATATTCTAGGTCAAGGACAACATCCGAGGTGCCTACAACACCCTCAGTGTCCCAAGCCTCGCGGTCTCCAATCCAGGCGTGAACCTGACCTACCCGAAGCACAAACTTACCGGCCAAGTCCTCACAGGCTTCTATGAAAAAGGACCCTCTGGGGTGGGAAGCACCGCTGGACGCTCGACCGTGTGCTTTTATGTTTTCACCGTCGCACTGCTACCATGTTTCTGCCACCAGCTCTCCCAAAAATGGCAGTTGGGATTCAAGAAGCTGAGACCTTTGGAGGCATTCCTCGCGCATGCAATCGCACGAGCGCAATCTGAGAATGCCGTGAGCGCTCCGTCGGTGGAAGGGTCAACTGAGAATCTGGCCAACACGCAGAACGCATACTCCTCCGCATCCCTGGAAGACTGGGCGAGGGACCATGCTAGAGGCACGGCGCCATACATTTCACACCGAAACGAGCCGTCGTCATTGATGCAGATCACTGACCATCCAGCTCGGCGCAATCCGCCATGTTGGGTAAAAAGGGCAGTCCCGTCTACGAAGACATCACCTTCGAATAGCCATCCAGGCATACACCCCACAAATCGGATGTAGTCCTCCTCGGGGATATCAGACTCCTGGGAGGCGTGCGCTGGCGAGGGCAGCAGGCCTCGGGCGAAGATTTCTGCACATTGCTCCCCTTCACGCTCTAGGACTTCCGCTGCCTGAAGCAGCTCAGGCGGACAAAATTCTCGGCGGAGGAACTCTGTAGCAGGGCAATCGAATCACCGGTGCCACAAGGTGCCTCGGGCTCCACATCGCGCGCAAAAACGGTGCACAGCCTTACCTTTCGCACGCGATCTGGCTTGGCTCCAGTGAGCCCCACAATTAACAGATCTGAACGTGTTCTTGTGCCTCTTGGCATATAGCTCCGAGGTTCGAGACAAGACGGCCAAGGCGGGCCCCCAGTGGACCTCCGAAACCCAAGGGCTCCCCAGCCTTCTGAGAGCTGTGGCATCAAAGGCAGCAAAAACAGCATCACGGACAGCCTGACAGGCCGCAACTGGCGAAACAAAAACTTCAAGTCGATCTCGCGCCAGCGATGTCGAGAAGAAGATGGAGGAGGAGGAGGGAGGGAGGAGGAGGCAGAGGACGAGGACGACGAACCCAGAAGTGCGATGCCATGATCCTTTCGCCCCCGGGGCCCCAGGATGCCCCGGGGCAAAATGAAAAAAACTCTAAAGATACTCAAAAGATGCCCCAAAGTACCCAAAAAACAGTCCCCAGACAATTTTTCACTCATTTTGAATACTCCCCCTATAGAGGGACAGGCCAGACTTAACTCTATTCGGGAGAGACAAAAAAGCCACCACCACCACCAGCCTGGGGGGGTGGCCGCTCCCTCTCCTCGGGCTGGTGGCACCTCCTGCCGGGAGCTCTCTGGAGGCCTGCCCGGAGCAGGGTGCCGCCAGCTCAGAGGGTGGGACAGCCACTCCGCTGGCTGGTGGTAGTGGCACTTTTGTCTCTGGCGATTGACGGCGCGAGCAGGTCTGGGAAGAGGTTCACCCCTCGGTCGGAAGAAGCAAATAGAAACATGAGGTAGGAAGACGGATCGAATAGATTGGGTTTGGGCCCGCCCGGAGAGTGACAAAACGCAGCAAAATCGGATCGATGATTGAAGTTTGGAAGGCGCTTGGAATAGATTGGGTTCTGGGAATCCCAAAGCACATACTTTCAACAAGCGATGGCTGAGCAGCCTGTGGAACTACAC